ACTGGCAGGGGTGATGGGCAGGCAGCTCCCGCCACCGCGCAGGAGGGGACAAGGGCCAGGGAGGTGACGAACACGGGGGAAGGCGATGGCTGTGCCAAGGGCTCCCCATCCCTCTGCCTGCCAGCAGTGTCCTGGAAGCAGCTGCCCAGGGTCAGTTGTTGTTCATGATCCACCAGGAAGCTGGAGAGAGAGGGGAGAGAGTGAGGAATGAGCAGGCAGGGTCACACCGATATATGGGGGGCAGAGAGAGGGGAGCCAGCCCCGCTTGGGGGGAGCTGAGGCTCTTCTGCAGGTCCCTGGCACTTGGATCTATAGCAGCCACCTCCCCGGGGTGGGGAGCGTAGCCATGGCATGAAGACAGGTGATGCACCTGATCTGGGGTGACTTCTGCAGGGGAGCACTGGGAATGGGGGGCAGTGGGACCAGCAGGTCAGGAAGAGCACTGCCAGCGTGGGATTTAGTCCAAATTAATCCGTGTTTCATGTTATTTTACACAAGACCTGAAAATGACAGCAACCTGGGGGTTAATCTGGCCTTATCAGTCCCCAAGTTCTCCCCATTCCTCCCACCTTGGTCAGGTATCTATTGGTACCACAGGGAATGTGCATTTTCCCTGAGCTGGACTGTCCCCTGTCTCAGCACCACTGAGCTGGAACTCTGGCCACAGGCACCGGGACTGACCCAGGAGGGCAAGTGCTTTGCAGAGCAGGTTCAGGGCTCAGGTGAAAGAAAAACAAATTAAAAAATGAGGCATCAGGTGTAGTCAAGACAAAGCTCAGCTTATCTGCTCCCTGAGAATGCCCCCAGCTGCCTGGCTGTCCTGCCTAGAGAGCATCCCCAAGCAGGGGAGAGGCCCCATGGCACTGCCAGCCCATGAAACCAAACCTGCCAGGGGACAAGGGACTTGCTCTGGCTTGAAAAAACACAATTCAGGTGACACCCACCCCCATCCTCCACTCTGGAGGGAGCCAAGGTGCATGGTCCCCACACTGTCCCTGTCCTCTGCAGAACCCAGAGCAGGAGCATGGGACTGTGGGGGGGTCCTGCAGCCCCCCAGGTCAGCCCCACAGCCCCTCACCTGGGAAAAGCATGGTGGTCAGCAGCTCCGGGGACTCCAGCAAGCTGATGATGGCCCGTTGGAAAGTCTTGCTACAGCTGGACTGCAAGTGGCTGGAAAACAGTGTGCAGGGGCAGGAGGGTGCAGGGCTTGTGCTTGTGTCACAGCTGGAAAGAGACGGGCTACATGCCAGGATCCCTGCCCAGGCACAGGGGCTGCTTTGCACCACCCAGAGCAGGAGATCCACTCCTGTCCTGCTCCCCAAATCTTTTATCAGGGTGTTCACCCCGTTTTGCTGCAAACAGCCCCGGGGGTGCGCTGGGCTGAGCAGCCAGCAGCAGAACAGGCTGCACAAGGAGGGGGAGCAGTGGGGTCCTGGTGGAGCCCCAAGAGGGAAACCCCTTTCAGCCCCCACCCAGAGCATCCAACCCAGCCCCGTGCAAGGAAAGTTTCCAACCTTCTCCACGAGGTCACGTCCTGCCAGAACTCGTACAGGATGAAGCAGGGCTCGTCCGTCAGCTTGCAGGCAGACACGCTGTGGGGACAGGAGTGACCCTGAGACGGGACCTGACAAGCTGGCACAGTGTAGCCACCTCGGTCCCAGCAGGCCTGGGAGTGAGGGGCACAGGTCTGCACGAGCCTCACCACGAGGCTTTCAAAGAGCATTTTGGATACATCCACAATTGGTGGCTGCCGGGGTCAGCACAAGGCTCCAGGGGATCCCAACCCCAAATCCTTCATGCTGCCGGGCAGCAGAGGAGCTTTGCAGCCATTCAACTGGTCCTTGCTGCCCAGAAACCAGAGCCTTCAATATTTTATTAACTATTTCTTAGCCCTACCCTAGCACTGCAGCACACAGCCTGACAAAGGAGCTCATCCTTCCAGCCCCATGGAGCAGGCGTGTGTCATCCCTCACCCTTCACACAGAGGGAAACTGAGGCACGAGAGTGCAAGGAGCTGAGATCACAGCACAAAACCACAGCTCGTTGCTCCCCACAGTGATGTTGTTTCACCAGATGATGCTTCCCATGCTGGAGGAACCAGCTGGGACTTTCTCCAGTCCATGGGAAGATGGAAGGGGAAGCAGCAGGGAGGTGAGAGAGGAAAGCTCAGGCTGCAGAGCCTGAGGAATCATCTGAACTCAGCTGCAGCATCATTAATTCCAGCTGAGGATGAAGGTTTCCTCCAGCTGCTGCCAAGGGCTGCAGGATGGACCCAAACCCTGGGAGAAGCAAAGGGAGTGACCCGGCAGCTCGGAGGCTGCGTCCCCCTGCGCGGGGGTCACACCACGCTTTGCAATTCCCTGGTGTGAAGCAGGAGAGCGGAGTCTCCCCGGGCTTCGCTCCAGCTTTCCACTCACGTGGAGAGCCTGCCCGTGCAGTGCTACCCAGCTGTCCACACCAATAGTGCTCATGGCAGAAAAGCCCATCAATTTCAAAGAAAAAAATAAATAAATAAACAAAAACCCATTCTCTCCCCACACACGTGTCAGAACAAGTGTTTGCCTTTTGTTTGGACTGAAAAATGCAATTTGGTGCTGTTGGAACTGAAGAGCTGAAAAATGACACTTTAAATGGGAACAGCATGAACATTTCCCACTGAAAGCAGCTTGAAATCTCCTGTGGGAGAAGGGAAGTGCCTCTCAAAGAGCAGCTGTGGAGTCTGCAGGGACACGCTGGCAGTGGCATGTCACCGAAGTCCTCAGCTCTGTGCAGAGCAGTGCTGGGGAGCAGAGCCCTGGTCTCACATAGGGGGTGGCTTCAGTTGCTCACGGCTGCTTCCCACCAGCACTGCACACCCTTCACCTACAGCAACGCTCCGACGTGAGCTCTCACCTTGACTTTTCCCAGCTACTATCAAGTTGTTCAGCGCTGGAGGAACGTCTGCATTCTGCATTCGCTTCCGTGTGTGTGCCACAGCCACTCCTGCTGCCATAAAACCCACCCCCCTGCATGCCAGACACTTAACAACTGGTTTTTGCTGGGAGTACCTGCAGCAGGAGATGGGATGATCCTGCAGGATCATCCCATCATCACATCACACCTCTGCAGCTGTGACACTGTCTCGTCCTCTCTGCAAACTCAAACGTCAGCACGCTGAGCCCACCCTTGCACTGACCAGCACACCCAATACTCCACAAAAACCCCTTTTGTCCCCCAAGGGTGGCTGTGCTAAAAGCCCCAGTTTCTGGCTGAGCTCCACCACAAACCACCCACCACACTTACTGCAGGCAGCTGCTCTGCCCGGCCGTCACCTCCGTGTAGGACCTGAACGCCTGGCGAAACTCCTCAATGCTGCTCATCGCCACCGAGATCTGCCTCTTTGCCACCAGGATGTGCTGCAAAGGGACAGAGAGAGGATCAGGGACTAATCTGTCCCCTCCTGGTCCCACCCTGCTGCAGGACAAGGCAGTGCTGAGCAACCACAGCACCGCAGGGGACACTGCCAGAGAGGCTGGCACCGCAGTGCTGGGGACAACACCTACACACAGCGGCTTCTCCCTACCTGGGCTGGTTGCATTTACAACAAGGACCATGCCAACAGGAGATGTTCCATCCCCTGGTACCAGGGTCCTGCTTTGGGGCTGCTGCAGTTCCCTGTGTCCTTCCCCCAGGAGAAAAGAGCCTCAGGACACCTTCACTTGTGGTCTGTGGGCGCCCAAGGCAAACCCAGAGGATCTGGGCAGTGCCAAGCGGAGCGTTGCCTTCCTCTGGGCTGGCTGTGGGCACTGCCTGGGGCTTTCATGGACCTGACAGAGCTGTGTTTGTGCTATGGATGGTCCCACACCCCACTCACAGCTCTGACTCCCACCCCACTGCGTCACCAACCAGCAGACCCCCCACCAGAGCAGCAGCTCACCCAGGTGACACCAGTCTTGGGACACAGGGGCTGTGTGAACACACGCGTGTGTGTGTGTGTGTGTGTGTGCGTGTGAGAGAGGGGATCTGTGCACACTATGGAGTTACCTGCAAACAACAAGCAGCAGGACAGGGACTTACAGCATCTTTTCCTTTGCAGGTGGCTTCCTCCTTCAGTGGCTCCAGGCGTGGGCTCTGCAGTTAACACCACAGGAAACATCATCATTACTGGGAGAACTTTGCAACGAGATAAAACGTGGCAGTAACCCCCAGCGCAGTGTGACAGATGGGTCATGGGGATGTTCCTTTGGGTACTTGGAGGAGAAAAGGGATGTGACCTGCACATCTGTGGGGCTCAGCAGGTCCAGACTGACTTGTCAGATGAGCACAGACCATGGAGAAGCCAAGGGAGGGTCAGGACAGCTGAGGGGAGAAGGTGGCGTTTGGAGACAGCAAGGGCTGAGCTTTGCTGTCTGGTGTCTGGTGAATGGGTACAGCTCAAATGATGCCAGGAACAAATACCAGGGCCATTGGCATGGGGAGAGGTCCCAGAACCAACCTGGCTGGCACCGAGGTGCAGGGTAGCCTCGAGCCCACCTCCCCTCTGCCACACACCTTGCACTCCAGTTTCTCGATGATCTGCTGGAGCCTGTTGATCTGTGCCAGCCACTGGCTGGTGTCATCAACACAAACACCTACGTGAGGAAGAGCAGAGACATGTCACCAAAAAAGCTTGCTTTTGTCATTGCAACATGTTGCTCAAGACACAGAAAACCACAAAAGCTTCTAAACAACTGATTTAAACAACAAAACCCCAAAACAATTTGTTTTTCTCCTGAAACTTTTCCCATTGCTCAAGAGATAAAACATCCCACAGAAGCTCCAGCTGGTATCTGGGTGTGATGGTCCAGGCTCCATCCCAGACAAAGCCCTGCTGTCCCATGCTGCTGCTCCCACACCCATTCGAGGCTCCAGAGGGACAGAAACACCAACCCAAGGGACGGGAAGGCTGCAGATACCTGTTGTCAGCATCCCAGAATAAGGGTCTGTTGGAGCCAGACAGATGTTCTTCTGTCCTCTGCGCCCACATCGTCTCCCTGACCTCAGGCCAACCGACATCTCAGATTTCTTTATGTCCTTTCTACAAGAATAAAATGCAAAAGGAGGGGTTGAAATCACTCACTACATGGGTCAGCTTCACAGTGGGCTTGGAAAGGGCAGATCCTGCTCCCATCGTCCCTCCCAGGGGGACCCATGAATCCTGCGACCCCCACAAGTGGTGGTGGGGAGAGAGGGGACTGGCCCGTCCCACCCCGTTACCTCTCCAGTCCCGCCTGCTCCTCCACGGTGTCCACGGCACACTCGAGTGAGCTCTGCAGGGACTGCAGCTGCTGCAGGGTTTCCCGCAGCAGGAAACGGGTCAGGAACTGCTCCATCTTCGAGGAGGTCTCGTACCTCTGTGGGGAAGGGGAGAGGATCTGTCACACAACTCCAGCTCTGTGTGGGGGGGGGGAAGCGGAGCTGCATCTGGAAAGGATTTGCCCTTAAATAAACCCAACAACATGTACAATATTCAAAATAAGTCAGAAATATCCTTAATTTACAAAGTGTAGGAACAGGGTCACAGGGAGCCCAGAGATACTTCTCATTGCTTGTACATCTGCCTTCGTTTTTCCTAAAACAGAGCAGCATCATTCTCTATCACATCATCATCACCTATCAAATTATATTATTTCTATGAAGCATTCTTAATCTTTTACTTCCATTTAAATCTCCAACAAAGTGGATTCCACTCACATTTTTAGTTATTGTTGGAAACAGTGACACTGTAGGGACAAAAGCAGTTTCCAGGTGCACACCTGTCGGGTCACAATGGAGAAGTGACCCCATCCCGGGCACCCACAGTCCCCGGGAACGTGGAGGACCACAGACAGACAGACACCCCCAAAGTCCAAGGTAAAGGCCACCTAAGGAATAATCCTCAGCTCTGGGGCTGGCAGAACAGCCCTTCCCACACCCAGTAGCTCACATGCTGCTCTGCTCACACCAGCGGGTCCTGAGACGAGGCTGGCAGGGCTGGGAG